GAGGTGGGCAGGCAGGGAGGGGGTAAATGGAGTTTGTTTTACTTACTGACAAAGCTTTGTGAACTACTTTTATACAATTCATAAAATTTGGTGCCTTGTACCCAATTATGGTTTGCATGGGATTGAAAAGATTAAGGGAAAGGATTCCTTCTTGTCATGTCAGAAGCAAATGGGTCTGTATGTTTAAAGGACATTTGGTATCACAGACTTTTTAAAAGCATTTCATATCTTTTGTGTATGGATGCAAATTATTCTTACCAGCAAGTTCTGAAACTGTTGTAATATCCAAATTCTTTGTATTTGTGATTACTCATCAAACAGCTGCTTTTCCAGGCAGACCTTGCACCCCATTGTTTTTTTACCACCCCTTTAATGTTTCAGACATTAACTCCGGCCTTTTCACAAATCAAGCTGGGAGGATATCCCTTCCTAAATGTCTTCTAGACCCCTCTCTGGGGTTATATCTTACACATGGAAGGGCTGCTTTTCCAGCTAGTTGGGAGAGCACAAATGTTCAGAAAAGGTCTTTCAGTCTTTATCAAAACAATGGCTAATGCTGGACAACTTATGCTAGAATTAAAAAAAGTTTCTCCTGAAGGTACCTTCTTTGGTTTGAAGTTCTTTTGCACAAAATGTCCGGAAGCAGTGTAGACAACAATCCCCTATATGTGAACCTTTAGACTGTAAGGCAAGCCAGTGCACTGTGTAATATGTAAAGGGAATGATGCAGAAGAGAAGGTGCAGAGACCCTTCCCAGCCCTCCCCGCTCTTTCCCAGCAGGTGCTGAGTGGCTGTGGAAGGTGGTAAAACCCAGCCTGCTCACTGCAGGACTATTTATACCCTATTTCTTTTATTCCAGCCTGGAAACCACCAAGTTATGAGACTTCACCAAAGGTGTTTAAAAACCTCACCACTCAAAACACACTTAACAATAGACTCCCTCATCCTAGTCACGGGACTAATTAAGTGAAGGGGCTGTTTCTTTGGGGTACAACTTCCCATAGCCACTTAAGTTATTTTTTGCTAGATAAGTGTGGCTTTCCCTGGTGGTTCAGATTCTTTTTAAAATCAATACTCGAGGTAAAAAGCGCCTTCTAAATATGACTGTGAGTTTAATTTCTACCTTATCTGTTTAATAACCCTCCTCTTGGTCTAGGGCTACAACTTTAACCACTTGCTCAACCCATACATTGTTCTGAATACGCCACAGCTATTATAGCATTGAGGCAAACAGTCACTGTTGTGGACTCTTTCCATGCTTACTTCTGCTGACATGTTCCATTTAAAATCTAACCAGCTAGAGGTTTCCATAGTGCCACTCTGTGTGTTAAACTGGGCAGGGCTGAAAAGCATGACAAGATATAAAACTGACTTTCAACTTGGTAAGAATGTCGTCATTCTTGGCAGTGGTAAAAGCCAGCACTTCCATTTACATAATTTATGATTATTCATCAAATTTGATAGTTTTATTTACTAACTTTTTATCACTTTAAAGAATTAAGCCAGGAGAACAGGAGGTGGCGTGGTGGTTAAGGTGCCAGACACTCCCACATGGCCAACCAGGGCTCTGAACCTGGTGGCTTGCTTTCTCACTTTACCTGTCTGTTTCTCTGGTCAAATTAAAATAAATGAGTAAGTACAATTAAATGACTTTACACAACCAGCATTATGGCTTTAAAGCCAACTGAACAATAAACACTATTACCTGAAATTAAAAACACTAAATTTTGAGTGAAAATCGAATTATGCTTTTGGAAGCTGCCATATCATCTCCTGGATTTTTATTTATTTATTTTTTTGGTAATTCTGCTATAAGGCGCATGCATTCTCCAGAAAGAGAAAATGAGAAAGCACCTCCCAGAGAGCTGGCCAGGCTACAATCCCTTCTCCTCCATTCTCCCCTCAAGATTTTGGGCATGCATTCACACATGGCTGGTGTGATTTTCCTTTTTTTTTTTCTCCCCTCCATTCTCCCCTTGGAATCTTGGGCATGCAGCCATTCAAGTTTTTTTGTTTGTTTGTTTGTTTTTGTTTTGAGAGGTTTTTGCCTTGGGGAGAGAGGCAGTGAGAAGAAAAGTGAGAAATTGCACCCCAGGTGGTATGGCCACACCGCCACATTGCCTTCTCCTCCATTTTCCTCTTGGGATCTTGGCCATGCATGTACGTGTGCCCAGGATGTTTTAAGCCACCAAGTCTGGGACTCAGACCATAGTGGGCCATGTGGGAGTCAGCGATGGAACTGTCACACTATCTGCTGGCCTTCCTGGTGTGATTTTCAAGCCACCCAGTCCAGGACTCAGATCATGCAGTTAGCCATATGGATCCAGCCACTTTAACTACCACCCTACCAGCTGGTCCCTCATTTTGATTTTCGGCTTTAGATATTTTTGTCAAATGGAACTGGTCATAATTATGAGTACTCTGAGTAGCAGACTCTAATTCCTATGAAAAACAGAAGGTGCTAGAATTTCTTATGTTAGCACTGGTCCAGTGCAGGTCTTATGGGGCTTAGCATTTACACTATAGCTTAGGTTTCCTCTGTGGTCAACATTTTCGGGAGTAATGGCTTTAGACTTAAGCTTTGCTCTCATCTGTGACCCTTTTTTCCTCTTAGTACCCAGAGAGCAACCTCTCAGAGCATCTGTGATCCTAGTGTAGACCTGAAAGGGTCCTGGCTTCATGTTACGCCAATGTGGATTTGGGCCTGAATTCACACCAAGCTCATAGTTCCTTCCTACCATCAAATAGAATCCATCTGATTAATAAGAGAGAATGGTGCTTTCAAAAAGGAATTTTTTTTTTTTTTTGGAGAGGTTTTTGCTATAGGGTGTGTGCACTCACCAGACAGACAGAGAAAGAGAGACAGAAAGCGAGAAATCACCCCCCCCAGGGGGGATGGCCACGCTGCAGTCCCTTTTCCTCCATCCTCCTCTTGGGATCTTGGGCACGCATGTACACACCCCCGGCGTGAGTTTTAAGCCTCCCGGATGCGAACCGCGGTCGGCTACATGGGAGTCCAGCGACATAGCCATTACGCTAACTGCTGGTCCCAAGAATTTTTTTTTTTTAATACACACACATGAAATCTGATTCTCACACTTCCTTTAATGAGATTTGTGCTGGCTGGGCCAAGAAAGACTATATTATCTTGTCTATCTTTAGTGAACAAATTGCTAGAGACACAGTCAGGCGTAGTAAGTAGGCGCTGTGGTCCACTTACACTGATCCTTCTTTCCAAGTCATGTCCTTTAATCCATACCAGTTCCATAGATCTGAGACCTGGCACATAAAAACAGTATTTAAAAAAATACTTAGTAATCAACTAGAAAAAACTTGCCATGGAGAACCTCTCTCCCCATTTCTATGACTGTTTGAATCTCTCCATGCCAGTTCCTTCCATGTTCCATTTCCAGAGAACTGTGAGGCCCCCGGACAGTGGCACTGGCATGAATTTTAGTCAGAAAACATGTTTTCTTGTAAAGAAGCTTCCCCTGCAGTATCACTTTAGTGCCCACAGCCCAGACTTGCTTACACCTTGCCTCCACCTGCACATCAGTGCCCTTTCTGCCACCAAACCTTACTGTCCCAGCAACAATGCCTCTCTGGTGCCTGGAAAACCCACCTGGTGTGCTAAAATGCTATGCAACACCAAATGGCTTCTTCCCCCAGTACTGCTCAACAATGGGAAATCCTCAAGAATAAGCTTCATGCTATGTCAATATCAATGTATGGTGGTTACATTTTCCATTTCTTTTAAAATGAAGCAAACCACCTCCATTATAATCCATATTTGGGGCTTGTTCTGTCTCTTTTCAGTGTGAAATATAAATCATGTTTTTATGATTTTTGTAAATCTTGACTTTTTACACTTTGTTTTTGTAAGCAGAAGTTTCTTATTAAAAGAATAAAATGGCTGTCTTTGTGTGCAGTCTTTATTTCGTATATTTGTTAAAACATCATTGTTCTCAGGACAAGAGCAAAGGTTAGCCCCTGCAGAAACATAGGAACTATGTACAGAACTTTACAGAGCAGATGAAGCCTGACTGCCGGACCAGACACTGGAGTTCTGGGTGAACACGAAAACAAAATGAAACCAGGCAGAGAAGTGCAAGGTGCAATCTGAAACTTCAGATGCCATCAGGGCATATCTTGTGGTGGTCACACATTGTAGGCTCTATTTTTAGAAGGTTCGGGTACAGCAAGAGATTCCACTTGTCTGCAATCAGATGACAAGACAACGGGTGGCATTAGAAATATAAAAGCACTGGAGAGAAACTGGTAGATTCAAGTTCCTTGCAACATTTGGAAACATTAAACCAGGAATAACCAAGGGTTTTATATCCTATCTCTTCTACATTTCCTGAGTAGTTGATATAAATTATTGCTAGGGCTGGCGAGTGGCATGGTAGTTAAGGGTGCTAGACTCCCACATGGCCCACTGTGGTTTGAGTCCTGGACCTGGCAGCTTGCTTTTTCACTTTCCCTATTGCTCTCATTCTCTGTCCATCTCTGGTCAAATTTAAATAAGTAAATTTAAATAAAATAATTACTTTTAAAAAATGATTGCTTCTCCCAACATCTAGAACTCCTAAGACAGGCAGAGCTGTGGTTCAGGGCTTACCTCCTTGGCTATGCCCCTGGCTGAGGTGCCATTAGATCGATGTCACTCAAGTTCCTGGCCAGCCAAACTCCTGCTGCAAAGAGTCCCAGATTAAGGATCAAGTTCCTGGAAAACAAATGTATTTCATTAGCCCTGTGGTCACCGAGTCACTTTCACTTGTAAACGAAAAGTAGAGAAAAGGTTTCCCGTCACTACCCATCACCACCTTCTTCCCAAGGCGCTGATACATGGTTGCTACAGGAACTTGTCCAAGACCCATACAGGAATTCGGAGTTCGTTTCTGTGCCCAGTAAGAGCAGGATCAAATGCAAAGGCCAACAAAATACTCGTGCAGATCAGAAAAGCTGGCTTATGTCTTGGCGCTTTCCCCTCCCCAGTCTCCCTGGTCAGGGTGACATTCTCTATAGGCACGTGACACGTGACAAAAACTGCTTTGGCAACACGGGAACTCTGAGTCAAGGAGAGCCATAGCCACGAAAAGGTTACTATTTTGGCAACGTGGCGGCGGGAAAGGGGCATACTCGAGAGGAAGGAGAAATATTGGCGTGTTCGGTCAGGAAAGCCTGGGGGATCAAGCGCCCCGGGCTGGGTTACCTCCGAAAGTCATTCCTATCCGTGGCGAAGCGGTAGACACCCCGCAGCCAATCTCCCACACTGTCCGGCATTTCGGGGGCTTCATTTGCCGAGCCGGCAGCGCTCACCGCCACCCCGCTGGAAGCCATGGCAGCACTCGGACTCCGCACAGGCCTCGCGGCGCACGGGGTCGGCGCTGGCGGATGACGCACTTCCGGTTCGACACTTAGTCGGCTTCCCGCAGGCAGTCGGCGCTGTTGCTCGGGCTCGGTCCGATGTCGCAGGGCCGGGTAGCCCCAGGTTGCATATCCGCTAGCTCTGCCCTGGCGCGAGAGCGGCCCGGCTTTACTGTCCCCTGCTCCTGGCCCCAACTCCTTTTCCCTCCAAGCCTTTGGCTTCCCAGCGAGCCACTGTCACACATGCTGAATGACCATTTCACCAGGAGCAGGTGGCTGGAGACAGCGCTGTCCCATCTTGAGAGAGTTAGGGTAAAGGCTAGTTTAGCTGGGGACGCGCAGCTTTGGCGAATGAAAGTCCCCAAAAAGTCTACACCAAAAATCGGAGCACGCGGGGCTGAACTCCAACTATGCCATCTCGCCGCCTCTCCCTGCGTGTCCCTGCTTGCCTTCAGTTTAGGATTTTTGTAGGAAGGAGACGGGAGCCTCGTTCGCCCGCCTTGCAGACTCGTTCCACCCTATCCCCTATCTCCGAGCTGCACCACTAGCAAATGATGCAGTGCTTCCTGGAGGTGTCGCTGTTCCCTGCTTGGAGGCTTCTGGGGGTCTTCCGGGGCTGGGGAAGGCGCTGGCCTAAGAAAAAGCCTTCGGGTTCCGAGTCAGAGGAAGAGGAGCAAGTGGGACAAGGGGCGTCCCCCTTGGGATCGTAGGTTGTCTCCAGGAGGTCTTGCTCTTCCCCTTTGGTAGCCTCCGCGATATCCCCAGCTCCGCACTCCTGCTCCGGACCGGGTTCAAGCAGCCCCTTCTGGGTTGGCAGGTAGGAGCCGGCGGCAGCGGCGAAAGGAGCTTCTCCGGAGCTGGTCACGGCGTTCAGCAAGGTGCAGTGCCTTCCTTCCGCCTGGCTGGGTCCGGTCTCCCCTGTTCCAGGGCGGGTCAGAAATGCCCACTTCAGAGCCGAGAATTTCTCTCTCCCAGATCCCTTCAGGGCGATCCA